TTGAGGGTTTAGGTCATTATCCAGTTGAAGCACACCGTGATGACACATTAAACATTCATCTCACAACTGAAGATATGGCCCTTGACCCAGTAATTATACATAGCTTCGGCGTTTCTCCAAATGACAACGGACGTCTTGGTGACGTGGCAACACTCCAACCAGTTACTGAAGATCTGACCCTTGATCCAGTAATGGAACAGGATGCAAGAGTTTCCCCACATGACAACACACATGATTGTGATGAAGCAACACTCCACGGCGTACAGGTAGCAACACTGGACACACACTGTGATGAGGCATCAAACGCCCTCCCAACAACTGAAACTGGGGCCCTTGACTCGGTGAGACCGAGCGGATATCCAGATGACCACACACGTCTTGGTGACTTTGGAACACTCGATACACGCCGTCATGTTACGTCATACATCCAACCAGTCCCTGGAGACATGACCCTTGACCCGGGGAATCTAGGAGGAAGAGGAAGACAATGCAGAGTACACTGTCATCGATGACAACGAAGTGGAGGACATCTTACAGGAAGACCCATATGAAACGATAGAGTCTGTCGATGACAAAGATGATGAGAACATCTCACAGAAAAAACCTTATGAAAAGATAAATGTGTAGTTGCCTTGGAAGATGTATTAGTCAACCAATGAGAATAATGAAAAAAAAAAGTATTTTGCTATATTTGCTATATGTAATGTAAGATGTTGATGGATGTCTGCTATAAGGACCGATTTGGGATCGGTATATCAACAGCAAACCAGTATTGTCAGAATAAAATCATAGTTTAATGGTTAAAGTTTCTCTTGCGCATAGGGTAACTGGGTTCAAATTGTACATTATATGTAGGATTTTGTGCATGTGATCCAGTGATGGTTGGATGCCAAAGAGTAAATTCCAGGATCATATGTTGTGTAACCTGGAATTTGATAGCTTGTGTTGAATCTTTGTTGAATCCCCACATGGGCACAATGTGTGAAGCCCATGAATGGTGTCCAACGACCGTGATATAAATGGGCATGTGTTAAGAATATCACCTAAATTACATAGATATGAATGTCAGATAATGTTTTCTTTACTGATACAGATGGACATGAAGACCAGTTTATAAATATGCATGATTACACTATGTACATATTGTATTAGCTTATGTAGGCTTGACGTTGCCATTGTAGACTAGCAGCCATTTCAGTTTTGCAAATAAAATAATCTTGAAGCTATAAATATTCACTTTCATTCACGAGAATGGTTTCACTCCTCTTATCGACTGCTCTAGATAGGTTTTGGGTATAAAATTGGCACATGGGTGTGATGATAACATATCTGTTCGGGAGTGGACGATCACGCCTGATGTGTTCAAGTGGTTGTTGTGACGAGATGCTGGCGGGTGACGCCTTTAGAAAGGTCGGGCGTCCATATCGAAATTTTCATTTTACAGCCAACGTCACTAATACCACCCAATAAATGCACGAGGTTTTCGATGCATGCTACACATGAGTCAGCCGGTGCTTGTCCCAACTAGCAATGAGAGAAGGCCCGAATTCACTGAGAGTGATGGTTGTTTTTTAATTTCACGTAAACGTCTGCTAATGACATCAGGATTGAGTGCTCGGGGCCACGGCATGAGTGAATCAGCGAATTGGCTATCCATGTATTAGGATTAAGGCACTATAAGTGAGTGAGTGAGTATGGGTTTTCGCCGCTTTTAGCAATATTCCACCAATTTCTCGGTGGGGGAAACCAGCAAAGGGATTCACACATTTTACCCATGTGGGGAATCGAACCCAAGATCTTCGGTGTGACGAGAAAACGCTTTAACGACAAGGCAAACCCTGCCACCTCCATGGCATGAAATAGATGTCTTGCTTTCGGAAGATAATGCCACAATCATGACACGCTGGTCACGTGTGTTCTTATGTTGAAAGATAAAACATTGCTTCGTTGTGAAAGTCTTACCCCGAGAGGTGCAATGATATTGCCTCGATAGTATTTACCAACATATAATATGGAGCGCGGTTTGACCAGTGTTATACGAACCCATACCATTATGAGCTCACTCCAACACGATGATACTGTACGACTTTGACGTCCAGAAGACGTTCAGTAGGACGTAATTAGCCTCGATTCATTCGGTCAAGGAAATGGAGAGTGAACCTCGATTCTGAGAAGAATCACTGATCAGTCTTTGACAGCAGTGACATTTACCATACCATCGATGCCTCTGATTCCAATGATATGATGTGATTTGTGGTATGACTGGGACACAAACCAATATGTGTCGGCCATTCTTCCTCCTGTAGGACTTGTCCTGATGTCTGTACTGCTTCTGGTGGCTTTCTGCATCTGGAGAAGATCGTAAGTGGTACATGGCGAACTCATTAATTAAACATACTGCCTTGTATTGGGGAGGAATCAAGGACGACAGCCACTCCGAAGAACGTACATTCTGGCAATCGGACTAAATACTTTTCCTCAAGGCATACATTATGACCCGACAACTTGAACGGAATTGCTTTGAAATATACACACTGTTCGAGAAATGATTAGGAAAATACACACATGTACCTATAAACAGTTTCAGGTCGAAACAGTCAGCTGCTAAATCCAACTTCAGATATCGAGATGCTCAGTTGCAATATACTAGGAGTTTGTTTGGATATTGACCATTTACATCAACAATCATTATATTTCTTATTTCCAGGAACAAGACGGAACAATGTAGTGACGACATTCAGCTCGACTCATTTGTGATGGACGTGGCATGCAACCCCCAACCACCAGGTGCAATGACAGGAAATCGCCAGGGGCAAGCGTATCTCCTGATGGTTACACGAGTCTTCGCTTCCTAGGATCACACGACACACATTGTGATGAGACATCGAACAGCATCAGTCTAGCAGCTGAAGATATTACCCTTGACCCAGAGACTCTTGAGGGTTTAGGTCATTATCCAGTTGAAGCACAACGTGGTGACACATTAAACATTCATCTCACAACTGAAGATATGGCCCTTGACCCAGTAATTATACATAGCTTCGGCGTTTCTCCAAATGACAACGGACGTCTTGGTGACGTGGCAACACTTCAACCAGTTACTGAAGATCTGACCCTTGATCCAGTAATGGAACATGATGCAAGAGTTTCCCACATGACAACACACACATGATTGTGATGAAGCAACACTCCACGGCGTACAGGTAGCAACACTGGACACACACTGTGATGAGGCATCAAACGCCCTCCCAACAACTGAAACTGGGGCCCTTGACTCGGTGAGACCGAGCGGATATCCAGATGACCACACACGTCTTGGTGACTTTGGAACACTCGATACACGCCGTCATGTTACGTCATACATCCAACCAGTCCCTGGAGACATGACCCTTGACCCGGGAATCTAGAGGAAGAGGAAGACAATGCAGAGTACACTGTCATCGATGACAACGAAGTGGAGGACATCTTACAGGAGGACCCATATGAAACGATAGAGTCTGTCGATGACAAAGATGATGAGAACATCTCACAGAAAAACCTTATGAAAAGATAAATGTGTAGTTGCCTTGGAAGATGTATTAGTCAACCAATGAGAATAATGAAAAAATGTATTTTGCTATATTTGCTATATGTAATGTAAGATGTTCATGGATGTCTGCTATAAGGACCGATTTGGGATCGGTATATCAACAGCAAACCAGTATTGTCAGAATAAAATCATAGTTTAATGGTTAAAGTTTCTCTTGCGCATAGGGTAACTGGGTTCAAATTGTACATTATATGTAGGATTTTGTGCATGTGATCCAGTGATGGTTGGATGCCAAAGAGTAAATTCCAGGATCATATGTTGTGTAACCTGGAATTTGATAGCTTGTGTTGAATCTTTGTTGAATCCCCACATGGGCACAATGTGTGAAGCCCATGAATGGTGTCCAACGACCGTGATATAAATGGGCATGTGTTAAGAATATCACCTAAATTACATAGATATGAATGTCAGATAATGTTTTCTTTACTGATACAGATGGACATGAAGACCAGTTTATAAATATGCATGATTACATAATGTACATATTGTATTAGCTTATGTAGGCTTGACGTTGCCATTGTAGACTAGCAGCCATTTCAGTTTTGCAAATAAAATAATCTTGAAGCTATAAATATTCACTTTCATTCACGAGAATGGTTCACTCCTCTTATCGACTGCTCTAGATAGGTTTTGGGTATAAAATTGGCACATGGGTGTGATGATAACATATCTGTTCGGGAGTGGACGATCACGCCTGATGTGTTCAAGTGGTTGTTGTGACGAGATGCTGGCGGGTGACGCCTTTAGAAAGGTGGGGCGTCCATATCGAAATTTTCATTTTACAGCCAACGTCACTAATACCACCCAATAAATGCACGAGGTTTTCGATGCATGCTACACATGAGTCAGCCGGTGCTTGTCCCAACTAGCAATGAGAGAAGGCCCGAATTCACTGAGAGTGATGGTTGTTTTTTAATTTCACGTAAACGTCTGCTAATGACATCAGGATTGAGTGCTCGGGGCCACGGCATGAGTGAATCAGCGAATTGGCTATCCATGTATTAGGATTAAGGCACTATGAGTGAGTGAGTGAGTATGGGTTTCGCCGCTTTTAGCAATATTCCACCAATTTCTCGGTTGGGGAAACCAGCAAAGGGATTCACACATTTCACCCATGTGGGGAATCGAACCCGGGATCTTCGGTGTGACGAGAAAACGCTTTAACGACAAGGCAACCCTGCCACCTCCATGGCATGAAATAGATGTCTTGCTTTCGGAAGATAATGCCACAATCATGACACGCTGGTCACGTGTGTTCTTATGTTGAAAGATAAAACATTGCTTCGTTGTGAAAGTCTTACCCCGAGAGGTGCAATGATATTGCCTCGATAGTATTTACCAACATATAATATGGAGCGCGGTTTGACCAGTGTTATACGAACCCATACCATTATGAGCTCACTCCAACACGATGATACTGTACGACTTTGACGTCCAGAAGACGTTCAGTAGGACGTAATTAGCCCTCGATTCATTCGGTCAAGGAAATGGAGAGTGAACCTCGATTCTCAGAAGAATCACTGATCAGTCTTTGACAGCAGTGACATTTACCATACCATCGATGCCTCTGATTCCATCGATATGATGATTTGTGGTATGACACCATGCACACTGATGCCATCTTTGCATAGGCGAGTTTGTAGTGATGTAACTCTAGCAACTGATATCAGTTGCAAGTGGTCCCTTATCTGAGGGGCATTTTGTACCGATTCCCTCAAGCCATCAATCTGACCATGTGGACTTGAAGTTATTACCCCTTGGACGTCCCCAGCGTAGTTGATCTTCATGGTTATGTGTTTTGCGGTATCAGGTCAACATTCTTCTTATGGCATATTGGAGACACTTGTAGCAATGAAGATCAACTACGCTGGGGACGTCAAGGGCAATACAACTTCAAGTCCACATGGTCAGATTGATGGCTTGAGGGAATCGGTACAAAATGCCTCTCAGATAAGGGACCACTTGCAACTGATAACAGTTACTAGAGTACATCACTGCAAACTCGCCTGCAAAAGATGGCATCAGTGTGCATGGTGTCATACCACAAATCACATCATATAATTGGAATCAGAGGCATTGGTGGTATGGTAAATGAGGTAACATGTTTTGTGACTGTATCAATGATGTGCTCGGGATATTGTTGTATTAGGAAAGGGCCTTCCCTGAAAAATCTCTTACTTTTATTTCTTGTTGAATGTCATTTGGGTTTTTTGCATAGCCTGTCTTAGTCATGAGGGCGCACACTAACACATTCTACTTCAAGGGGTAAATCTGACAGCACCCCTTGCAGGTGCTGTCCGACGTCTCGTGCTGTATTATTGGGAGTGTCGTGTTTACAACCTTCATTTGTTTGGAAATGTTCTTGATACATACATCATTTATTTTCATTGGACACATTGGTGTAGCTTCACATCAAAACAAAACACCCCCATACGTTTTGGTGGAGCGTTTCTCATTCATTAAGACAAACACTGGCGCTCTTTTCCTGCACCCTATCGGGACGGTGGGGTAGACTAGTGGTTAAGGCGTTCGCTCGTCATGCGCAAAGGACCCGGGTTCAATAGTCTACATGAGATAGCTGGAATATTGCTAAAAGCGGCGTAAAACTAAACTCACTCACTCACTGCACCCCTATCCTTTAGATGAGGGGGGTACATTACCAATATCCCATATTCAATTGATTACATAAACTTGATTAATGTTAAACAGCTTTGTTGAACTTCACACTTCAACTGTTGTTCCGCAATCATAAAGGCACGCGTTAATATCTTTTTCTTCCGTATCTGTTACCCGTGGTTGATGATTCTTCATCATTCAATGATGTTAAACTATATAAATGACGCTGAGTATTCTCAAAGTGATTCACGTTTTCATTTTATTTCCGCAGCACTGCACATTAGAAACTAGAAACAAAAACCGGAAACTCGCTGTGTGCCTCTGGACTAAATAGGACTGTTATGGGCCATTGGATAAACCAGACAGTTAAATAAGGCGTTTGCCATCCGATATACATCAGCCACTAGGGACACAAGTGTAAGCGATACCAATTAGAAGATGAAGACAAGGGAAATACGTTTGTGTGTGTGACCGTACTTCTCTGGCTGTTGACAATCAAGGTAGGCATGTAATACATCTCCTAAAATGGCCCAATGACCAGCTAACTCCATGGACTATTCAGAGGACATAAACCGATATATCATGGTGTGAATATATTCTTCCTGTGAAACATTTACTGATAGGCTAAGCCTGCAATAATCTGTTCAGCTGTACTTTTTGTTAGTGCAATTCTTTCAAGTTCTTTCTTTAACTGAGTTTATACAATATATCAATTTGTGTAGCCTTAAATGAAATGTGTACAATATTCACACGTGGAGTTTCTTTCATTACACTTCTTCAAATATACGCAAGAAAGTTTATTATATCAACATCGGTTCAGTTGTGTATTATCATATTGCATAAGTGCCAGTTTCACTGATAATAAATGATGACTCAAAGTGTCATCAGATATTGTTATACAGTGCGTGTAGATACACATGGTCGAAAGTACGAACAGTCAATGTAATTCTGCTTGGGTATATCTCCATGCCTCTGGCAACATGGAAAACAATCTCAACAAGGTTCCTGATGGATGTTAGAGTCAATCCCGCTGTGAGTTGTCTTTTATAACCTTAGTTAACAGCTTTAACGTCTGATAGAGAAGTGTCTGATAAAATGTTACAAGAAAAGATTTATAGTCCAAACTCATGGAAATAAAAGCGACAATATCCTTTTCACACTGGCCCTTTCATACTGGCCCGAGACATATAACTTGGCTCCAGGGTCGATTAATGAATGTAGTCCCCAATGGGCTGATGCATTTCAGGACAATAGTTGTGAAACACTGTTTGTCATCAATTGAAAATGGTTAAAACTGACAGGAAATGGAAACGTAATTAGCTGTATCAGAAACCTTGTTGTCGGCCCTGTCCACCATCACATCAAACTACTCTGTTCAGTTAGTGCTACATTCAGCACACGTCGTATCACATCGCGGTAGCATTTGGACTTTCGAAAGCTCCATGTCATGTTATGCGATAGCATCGTTATGAGGTGATAATATCTTTAAAGTGTTCCTTTATAGAAAAAAAACATTTCCTTCCTCACATCTGAGAGCATATCTTTGTACAAAAGGTATCCAGTGTATTTCCGGCTTTAAACCTTCCACCCATGTCCCACGATTGCCGCTTCATTTAAATAATAATGAAATAAGGTTTCTACTAATCCTTTGAACTAGTCGTAAACAAATTGAATTTCTGATGCCATGGAATAATGGGGACGAGGTGGTTATATAAAGGTAAGGCTGAGTCTTAGTGGGATCGTATCTAGCATGTCTATCTCTGGTATCTGTGGTCGAGACTCAATTATTCATAGGTCATTGGTGAGTGTAGCGTGAAACAGATCTCAATAACTGTTTGTTCGAATCTATCTTCATGATTTACAGCGAGTGAAGACTGACGGTAAACTGGACATTCGATTCATCAGTTACTGGTCAGATGGCAAGGAAATCAGTGGATACTGTTGTGACAGTGAGGATTGGACATGGTGCACTGATAAGTGTGATCCAATGTTTACCCTGTGTATTGGTATTGCTGGGTAGGTACAATTAAAACGTTTATTGAGAAAACACACGAGCTAAATATGTTCAGTTCCCGCCAGTTTTGTATTTCTTAGGCTGGTGAAAATAATTTGTGTACTTCCCTGTATACTTTTGAAGTGTAACAACGTATTAGTAATATAAGTATGCCGAAGCAATATTCATGGTTTTTAAAAACGCCTGCATTGTGCTATGTCACGTATGTCTGTCTTTGTAACCATTGGTGTGCCATTTGGTGTGTACATTTGGAGCTGGGGCAGTGGGGTAGCATAGTGGTTAAAGCGTTCGCTCGTCACGCTGAAGATCCGGGTTCGATTCCCCACATGTGCACAATGTGTGAAGCCCTTTTCTGGTGCACCCCACTGTGATATTGCTGGAATATTGCTAAAAGCGGCGTAAAACTAAACTCACTCACTCATTTGGAGCAATTAATCAAAAGAATGAATTCCTACCTTCCATACATCTTTCATTCTGGCTACATATGCAGCGATACAAAAGTGTGTGTTTTCAATGTAGCGCTTTGTTGCCTGTAGATTTGATGGTATAATATCATAAGCCGATGTCATTCCAGCCCTGAAGGAAGACAGCCGTGCTCTGTTTACAAGACGACCACAAAATATGTAGACAACCATAACATAATCCACTTTGGAAGCAGCATTCAAGGAACTGCAAATCCTTTCATCATACCAGTGGACAATGCAGTACCGGTAGGACTGTTATCTAAATCAATATTTCACACAGAAGGGTACATATCAGATTACGTCATAAGTCAAACAAACCTAAACCATCCTGTTGGTGTTGATCAGGAAACTAGCTAACACAGTGCTCGTGAAATCGGATCACTCAGCTAAAGCTCAGCATGACAACGGGTCATTGCATCCTGATGGCGAATCAGGGCATCAACGTCTGGCTCGTCTTGTCCAGCCTCGATTATTTACAAGTAATAAGTCTCGATGTTTGACAACAAATAGAAAGTAAATCGATATGTGTGTCTTTTTATTGATTCAGCTACACTTAACTAACTTAAACTAAACAGATGGTATGCATTTTCTTTTATTCAGTCCTCGATAGAAATAACGGTGGAGGTGTATGACAACGATGACATCTCCGGTGATGACCACATGGACACACTCTCTAAGCTGATCAACATCCGAGCTGCTGCTACAGAACAGACAGCTATGTACAACTCATACACATTGTCGAGGAGGTCGACGTGAGTCAGATTAAAACATATCTGTGATGATTCCAGAGAGTTGGGTTGGAGGGCTGGAACAAAACAAGATGGGTTATTCTTTCATGTTCTTTGTTCATAAATACTTCAAAATAATGAGTTTACGTCAAAACATGATGTTGTGAATGATCATCGGTCTCGCACCAACATAATGCCAATGTAAGCCTTTGACCAGCATTCAATGTTTACATGTTAAAATTGCTTGATCAAGGTGCGCAAGGCACTCAAAGTGAAAAGTGTTTTTGTTTTGTTTGTCTGTCGTTTAACGCCGCACTCAGTAATATTCCAGCTATGTGGCGGTAGTCTGTAAATAATCGAATCTGGAGTCTCTCCACCCGGTCCCGTTAGTTGCATCTTAAGTGAAAAATGTAGAGTAAATTATTTTCAACGTTAAGGATTGACTGTCGTAGTGTGTGTTTGTTTGTCAAATAACGCTGCACTCAGCTATATTCCAGCTATGTGGCGGTAGTCTCTAAAGCAGCAAGACAATCTACTGAATCAGTGATCAACCGCATGGGGATCGATCTAAGCAAATGGGATACGGTGACATGTGTCAAGCAAGCAGGAAGCCTAACCACCTGATCATATATTTCTCCTCAAAAGTGAAAAATGCAGAGTGAATTATTTTCCAGGTTAAAGATTGCAGTCCGAGCCTACTGTGACCCGGACTGGTACGGGTCTGCGTGTGAGAAATATTGCAAGGCCACTCCTGACCACAGTCACTACACTTGCCACCCACATACAGGAGCTAAAATGTGCTTTGAAGGTATGCTCAGAAAGCTGGTGTGAGCGTTGTTGTGAACTATTTTTTAGACCTTAGCAAGCTTGAGAAAGACCAATTGACACGTTACTTTTAATTAAACAAAGTTTGTGTTATTAGAAATGGATGCTCGAAATTGATGAATCAAATCTCCCGGCTAATCACGTATCCGCCATTGTCATTTGAGTTTCGATCAGACACAAATACAATTGTCGATTGTTTTATACTGGGCTATGGACTAAATTTCCCAGTTATGACAGAGGTTTTTGTCCTATATTGTATAACGATCCTTCCACTGTAAAGTGTGGTCAAAGTATACATTGAAACTCGAGTTATCCAGTCGTCACTATTTAAAGTGACTGTTTTAAGTGTTAAAGTGATTATTGAATCACTGGTGAGCCATTTACATATTCAGACGTTCATCTGACAGTCATCATCCAGCGGGATATCGGACCGTCGGTCGGTATGAATAGGATTTCACTGTTTCACTCTTTCTGAAACATTGTGCTATTTACTGCATAATTTCAAGTAATTTCAAATATAAAATTGCAGGTTGGAAGGGAGACAACTGCAACAAGGACATCGATGAATGCACAGAAAGTGACCAAATGTGTCAACACGGAGGCACTTGTACAAATACAAACGGAAGTTTCGAGTGCGCTTGTGCGGAGGGGATCAAAGGTAAGTAGACTGTATCAGTCCTCGTGGAATATAGTTTGCACTATTATGGCTACCATACAATAATTCGATCCAAAACAAAATGTTACCAAAAGTACAATATTAATTGACTCATAAGAACAGACTGTGTTCCGCCGAATTATTTCCGTGTATATTCAGTTGTTTTAAGTGCGCCCTTATTTGGTAATGTATATTTACCTACATTTTTACACTCAAATGCACTTATATGCACCCATAAAAGCGCGCATGCTCCCACAGCACCCCCACCCCCAAATCATATATGACTATGTGAGGTCAGTCGAAGATATTTAGCACCGCAATCCCGCAATTACATTTTGTACCTGCTTGAAACATTGTTGTAACTCCACCTTGATAGTGGAGGTAAAAGGTAAAAGGGTTAAATCAACAGTACCCGATGGCAAGAGATCTCTGTAGATTGCTTACAAGTCGTGTAAAAATATCTGTTCATTAATGGGGTTTTTTGCTACATAATTTCTAAAATTTGTTTAGGAAAACTATGTGAAAACATCATCAACCAATGTGCACTGGAGCCATGTCTGAACGGAGGGACGTGTGACGGAAACGAATCGGACTTCAAGTGCGCATGCCCAGCTGGTTCGACTGGAGACACATGTGCAGATAAGGTTAATTTCTGTGACAGCCCCTTGTAACATGGGCCAGTGTACACCGGATCTATCGACGGCAACTCGGTTCAAGTGTGACTGTGATTTTTCCTTGGGTGGGAGAGATGCAACCAAAGGGTTGGTGAGTGAGATAGTTTCTTCTATACACTCCCCTTAAATTCATGTATGTTTTTATCGTTCAAATGTATTATAGTGTTTTATTTCTAATATATATAGTATGGAATTAATTTGTGAAATCAAGTAACAACCGAAGATCATCTAACAAATATAGTTGCGGGCAACGATGAGGTCTCCCTTGGCTTTACTTTCTATCTATTGTATCTGAGGGCTAGATATCATCGGCCAAAACGGAGCCAGAACACAGGCGAGCGGATCTTCCAAATACAGCCGGGGTCACTGGGGTCATGTACCTTTTAAGTAGTTCCGAGAAGAAATAGTTCCCTCTTTAAAAGGCTGTATCTCAGTTGTTCTTGAGTCTATGTTCAAAACAATTAGTGTTCTGGAATCATCAGGACATCATCTACCATACTGGCATGGCTAAAAAAACAAAAGTAACTGCCAAACGGTACGTTTTAGCGGACTTTGACCCGTCCAGGCAAAAATGTTGGGAATTCGATTGTGCATCTGTACAAGAAATTTGGAAGTGTTGGAACAATTAGTTCTTGAGATATTTGCTGTCAAACTTTGAAATTTTGGAATTACTTTGAATTATCTCCCCCTTTGCTATTGGGGCCAAGAGCCTAGGGATTTTAAAGGAATATCTACAGCCGGGTGCGCATCTGTGTGTTTTTGTAAGCGATTCGAGCATTGGTTTAGGAGTTATGTTTGGTACAAAAATCGGCGGAATAATAATAAAAAAATAAAATAATAATAATAATAATAATAATAATAATAATAATAGGGGCCTGATGATGTACGCCTCTTCGTGAAATGGGCCTAGATAGGGAATTATATTCCCTAGACCAAACGTGCATCACCCAGTTAGGGCTGACCCGAAGCTGGTTTTTCACTGTTACAGACAGCCAAAAGGAAAGTTTAGATTCACTTCCGCAGCCCAGTCAGCCTTCCTCCGGTAGTGAAACCAACCATACTGGAGATGGGACTTGCCCCAGGGAAGGCATAGAACCCGGACCAAGAATATCTTGGTCAAACCACCTTAAAACGTTACACTACTTGAGTGTGCGAGAGCGACAGGATGGCAAGTCGCTGAAGCTGCATTAGGACAATGCCATGCCCATGTATGCTTACCTGACGGAGCAAAATCTCGAGATCAATTCCGGCGCTTAAAGCATCTCTTGCCCCGTGAGCCAGTTCAACCCACAACTGCTGCCCGTCAGGAACCTTTGCATGAGACAGAATGCTCAAGTGGCAGCAGACCCAAAACTTCGAATGGACGTCCGTGTCAACCTCTTTCCTCTTGCTGATGGAAACTCTTCCGGCATAGAGCCAATTGGCCCCGAAATTTCAGACCCTCACTCTTCCTCTTCCCTCAGTTGCAGATCTGTTTCTGAAAAATCCTGTGTATATTTTGTTTCATTCTATTTATGATGAAATATATGGCATACCTTTAGAAAATCGGAGGCCAATTAAACAAACAAATGAATCTTTTCCAAAAAATGAAATTAATTTATTAAATGATATTATTAATTGTTGTGTCTATGCTGCTCAGACCTTGGAGGAACTTCACACAGTTCTCCAAAGAAAACACATCCAATACTAAAGAAGACTAAGCACCAAAGAAAAACCGGTTTCAAGTAAAACTAACGGAAACTAGAAAATACATTTCTGGATAGAGCTGTGCCTGAAGTTAAGATCATCAAGCAGTCCAATGTCAAAAGACAAAAGGCAATTTGGAGAAAATTAAAACTGAAATATAAAACAACGAAAGGAAAAAAGATACCTCTCCAAATTGTCGATTCCCTTAAGGCAAAATAAAGGTTTGGACTGAAAGAAAGAAAAAATGGGAAAAGAAAAATAAATTCATCAAACAAAATAAACTGTTTAGAAACAATGAAAAGCACTTCTACAGGCAACTGAAAGCAAAGGGTGATGGTGAACATGACAAACGGCCTCCCATGGATGCCAATGAAAGGTTCTGGAAACAGTTGTGGTCTGTACCCGGCAACTGTAACCTTGAGGCACCATGGGTCCGTGATTATGACCATGCAATGCATGAGAAGGTAACTAGGTCGTTTGTCTGTTACATCTCACCAGATTGCCTGAAAAGTGTTATCAAAAGTCCAAATCAAATACAGCTCCAGGGCCTGATGGCATTCGAAATCGGTATTGGAAACTGTTCCCCTGTGTCCAAACACCATTACTACACTGTTTCAATTCTCTTGTGGACACAGGTGATGTTCTCCATGGTTCTGCAAAGGTCGCACAATACTTCTCCCAAGAAAGGAGACTTGACTGATACCAAAAACTTCCGCCCCTATCACATGTTTGAATACTCCGGTATAAAAATATTCACAGGGTGTTTGACAAACCTCGTGTCATCTTACTCTTCCAATGATATGATTTACAGAGAGCAGAAGGGAGCAAGAAAGGGATGTTAGTGCAAGGATCAACTTCTTGTACAGAAAATGATTTTGGAAGAGGCTAAAACATATCACCGCAACCTCTCCATGTGCTGGATTGACTACAAAAAAGGCATATGACTCTTTCCCTCACGAATGGATTCTGAAGTCTCTTCATTGCATTGACCTCCCCCTCAGCGACTACTTGATTTACTCCAAGTCTTTAATGAGTTGCTGGTCGACTCAACTTGAGATGTACTCGCTGGGGCAGGTGCAGACGTCGGAATCTATTCCAATCAGAAGGGAGGAATTTCAGGGGATTCCTTAGTCCTTTGCTTTTGTCTGTCTTTAAATCCTTTGAGCTTTCTGCTCAATAAAGAGGAGGGTTACCATCCCGGACCTCCTCAGCACAGATCCCCAACACCTCTTACTCATCTCCTTTACATGGATGATATCGAGCTCCTTGCCAAAGGAGATACCAATTTGAAAGAGCAGGTTCTCCTTGTCGAGTCCTTTTCGAATGATATTGGCATGACATTTGGACTCGACAAATGTAATACTCTTCATTTGAAACGTGGCAAGGTAACTAATGATGGATCGGTCAAGTTACAAGGGGGAGGAGTTATTGAGCATCTTGTGGAAGATCAGGCCTACACCTATCTTGGAATGCAAGTTCGAGATAAGCTCCAGAATGCCCAGATTCAAGACAAACTTCGGGCCGAGTACAAATCTCGTTTAAAGAAAATCTGGAGCTCAGAGCTAAATGCTCGAAACAAGGTCAAAGCCACCAATACTTTTGCTGTGCCAGTCCTCTCCTATTCCTTTGGAGTAGTTGATTGGACGAAACAAGACATCCAGAGTCTTGACCGCCTGACCAGAAGGATCATGTCTGATAACAGAGCCCACCACCCTCGTTCCTCTCTTTAACCGTGTATATATGCCAATCAATTCTGGAGGCTGGGGTTTGATTAATGTGGAGGCTCTTCATGACAGAATTTTATTGTGTACTTTTGCACATATTTATTTATCGAATGATCCTCTGGTGATGCATGTGAAGACTCATGATGATGAAAGCAAAGGAATTCCACAGCTATTTTTAAGCGTGCCAAGGTTGTTGGACAGAATCTGAAATTTAGAGGTTGACTTTGCTGATGGCGATGTACTGCTGGACGGTACAGCAATGGGAGTAAACCAGGTGAAGTCCTTCACCAAGTCTGCCCCAGAGTCGGTCTCTTTGTGGAGAAGCTTTCTGAGAAGCCATTGCATCGTGTGTACATGCAGTGTGTGTGGAACAGAATAGCAATCCTCCGACTCCTTCGCCTGGATGAAGTCGGCTGGTCTTAAATGTGAAACTGAGGGGCTTCCTATTATTTGCTGCTCAGGACCAGTCACTTCCCACTCGTAATCGCCTAAATGTGATTCTTAAAGAGAATATTAACATGAAATGTCGACTTTGCAATGAATTCACAGAGACTGTCCAACACCTTGTCAGTGGATGCCCTTCCTTTGGCACAAACAGCATATCTTAAACGACATGATGGCATGGCTTGCTGCTTTTTACTACTGTCTCCGACATGCCTGTGGCTTTGACTCTGAGGTCCATCCATGGTACGACCCTGAACATGTCCAGGGCGTCATGGAAATGATGCTTTCAAACTTCTGTGGAATAGGCCCATATACAGCCTCAGAAGAATTCCAGCTAACAAACCTGATCTTGTCCTTTTTTTTAAAGCCAATGAATTTATATATATCATTGAATTTTCTGTCCCTTTCGACAGGAATGTGATTGACAAGATCAAGGAAAAGCATGATAAATATGCGGACCTCGCCTTTGAAATGTCTCGCTTGCATCCCAAGTACACTGTCGTCAGGCTCCCCATTGTTCTCGGTGCCCTTGAGTTTGGTACCTCCTGATCTTTTGGCACAGATCAGGAGAGTGCCCGGGTTCTCCACCGGAGTACAGCTCTTCTGATACTCTGGGTAATGCAGAAGGCTGCAGTGTTGGGGAGCCTTCATATTCTCCAGAAAGTTCTTGGTGGGTTCGACTAGGCAGCGTTTCCTGGGAGAAGTCCATTCGCTGTCTGGGCTGCGTGTAGGGGGCTAGGGCCCTGAGCTGATGATGAGCCTTACCAGCCTGACTGTGCCAGGATCACCCGAACCCTCTCTGCTGCATATTATCTTCAATCTGTAAAACATAATAATAATCCGAACGATTACAATAGGTCTGCTGCCCTTAGTGGCAAGGGAGCCCTAATTAACAAAAATAAACTACCGGGCAAAAAGAAACGATACCAAGTCGAAATCACTGATAATACAAAAGCGACAAGCACGTCCTTTGTGAAAAAGGACAGTGACTTTAATAGCAGTTGTATGGACAACATGCACTCAGTCATGTAATTGAAGTAGAAACAACAACAAGTACATTGAATCACTGTATAAATGAAGGAAATGGAAGTGTCCAGTATTCGATCACAGATGTAAACAAACCAACACACATGGTCAGTATCTGGTATGTCCACCGTGGGCATCAATTGCAAGCCCTAACTAGGATGTGTTGAGAACGTCAGACGCCGTATACCTTGGGCAGGGATCCTTCGCCATTTCTCTTGAAGAGCTAATCAAGCTGACGTCGGTTTCCAGGAACAAGTTCTCTAGCACGAATCTGACGATCCATATGGTCCCACAAGTGTTCAATTGGTGACATGTCAAGTGACCTGGAGGGCCAAGGAGGCACATTGACGTTGTTTCTCTGTAGAAATGACAATACGTGCTGTATGAGGACCGGCGTTGTCCAGGAACATGATCCGGTTATGGCGTTGACGTAGGAATGGTAGTGCAACCGGACACAGAATTTGATCAATGCATCGTTGAGCAGTGAGATTACCATCCACCACAACAAGATCTGTGTACATATCGTAGCAATTATGCCTCCCCAAACTATGACACCAAACGCCACTTTCTGTACACAGCAACGTTGCACACGTTCTCCACGGTGTCTGTAGACACGAGCCCCGCCATCATTCCTGAACAGCTGGAACCTGCTTTCACCTTAGAACACCACTCTCTGCCACTGTCTGTTTTGCCACTGGCGAACCGTGTGTGCCCATCGCAGACCACGGTAGGGTCTGTAGAGGCGCGGATACTGTATTGTCTGAGTTGTCGTGCTGCTGTTCTTTAACTGATAGGATATCCAAGCCCAGTCGCTGCTGATGACGTCACAGGTAAGAAATGGTTTCTCAGGTAGCGGGTCATCAGCCTCGTGATGGTTAGACGTGTACTGCCCCAAGGTCGCTGCAACATGTGCATGAGTGGCACCCATCTGTGCCATTCCAATAGCTCTCTCTGGATTCCTGCGATAATCGAGTCATGGTCGCTGAAGTTGACTTGAAGATTTGATGTCGAGGAAGGTTTGTGTGCACTGTTATGCTCCAAAGATGCACGTGCTTCATACAATCCGTTCACGAGATTTTCGTGTTCCACGACCTGTTGCAGTGATACTGTTCGCCCAAACACAACATGTTTCGTGACAGATGTTAGGGAAGCATTGTGGTGATTGTTGTAAAGCTCATAACTACCTACCAAATTTGATTTCGAGTCCAAATTATCAAATTAAATTTTGGTATCGTTTCTTTTGCCCGTTAGTTTATTTTTGAACGACATACGACGTTTACGTAATACAATACAGCAAAATTCGTGAGAAATACCTGGCAGCATCAAAATGAATATCTGAGACAATAATTAAGAAGTTACAGCAATCACTGATGTCCAGTATTTTTCGAACTTTGACGTCTTGAATTAGGGGTCTCACACATTCCCTAGAAAGGGGCACATCACACAGGTACTTCCAGCACAGCCGTCAGCTGCTGGGATGGTGTGACCACAAACGCATCCAAGGGAGGTTACGGATATTATACGGTCGCCTAAATCACTTTGCCACTCACCGTCACAAGAATTTACTTTACAATATGCGAACAATGAAGACAACGGGCGATATCAATACAACTCAAAGGTGACATTTGTTTGGTTTTCATTCTGGAGAAAACAGACTGGTTGCGGTATCCTGCCAGGGTACTGAGTCATATGTATGCCGTGTGCTTTTGTGTGACAAAATCTGTTGATGATGAGTGTGCGAGTGAGTTTAGCTTTACGTCGCTTTTAGCTATATTTCAAAACTATTTCGAGCCCGTCTTCGGCGTGACGAGCGATCGCTGAAACCACTAGGCTACCCCACCACCCTTTTTTGATCATGAACGTGAACACATTTTATTTGACAATTTAGCCAGTAAACATCATGTAAAATATCATTTCATCCGTTCTTTTGGTCGTCAATTTGTGATTTTTTTATAAATGAATTTTTATTTTATTTGTAGACTCAGATATGATCAACATTACACTCCTGGGTGAGATTGATCATACAAGTAGAGGTGACCTGGCTGATGGCTTCAACAGACTCATCACAGAACTCGAGGGGACTTCCAGGAAAGGTGGCTGTCAAATTTAAAACCAAGGCACAGAGAGAAAACAAGTAAGTCACAAGCAGAATGATGTTGACCAGTACAAGACCACATGACTCTACAATGACTTTGCTATTTAAATCCCCGTCGTGCAGTTAAGGTCAAAAATCATTAACAATGTTGTGTTTCGTGTACCTTTCAGTTATACTACTACGCACGTACAACTCTACTCTGCTGTGGAAAATGGATCCTTTCTAGACAGTAATTCATTTTGCTAGAATCTTCGATTCCAACCCCTGATGAAATCATCAATGAATATCTGCCTCTTCCATTGTACCCTCCCCGAAAAGAAGAGACGGCAACCTTGAAGGTGACCCCCATGGTTTCAACAGTGGTGCCCGATGTCTTATTACTGTTTGTGTAACAAATGTAATACCATTATTGGCTCTAGTACGGTACCTGATATAACATTTGTTGCGTTTGCATGTTTGTTGGATTTTTATGTGTGTAACGCTAAATTCAGCAATATTCGGCGGTCTCTCTTGCCCTCGGGGCAGTGATGTATGCTGTCTGTATTAAGAGGAAGGTTGCTTTGAAACTATTTTCTTACCCGTTACGCATGTTTATTGGATTATTTTTGTCATTTGTGAACACGTTATTCAGCCATAGTCCAGCCATGTGACGACAGTCTCAAGCTGTCGTGTCAGTGATGAACGTTGTCACGCTTGCCAAGAAGTAAAGGTTCCTTGGAGCTAATGCTACTAAAATTAACCTTTAAAAGCACAGTGCAATCTATATTCTCGCGTATGTATGATAAAACATTCTTGGACGAGACGATTTCAGATTACCACAGGTCAATATGGGCGTGTTTCAGAGTCCACATGACGACTGGGACACAAACCAATATGTGTCGGCCATTCTTCCTCCTGTAGGACTTGTCCTGATGTCTGTACTGCTTCTGGTGGCTTTCTGCACCTGGAGGAGAAGATCGTAAGTGGTACATGGCGAACTCATTAATTAAACATACTGCCGCCTTGTATTGGGAGAGGAATCAAGGATGGCAGCCACCCGAAGAACGTACATTCTGGCAATCGGACTAAATACTTTTCCTCAAGGCATACATTATGACCCGACAACTTGAACGGAATTGCTTTGAAATATACACTCTGTTCGAGAAATGATTAGGAAAATACACATGTACCTATAAACAGTTTCAGGTCGAAACAGTAAGCTGCTAAGTCCAACTTCAGATATCTAGATGCTCAGTTGCAGTATACTAGGAGTTTGTTTGGATATTTAGCATTTACGTCAACAATCATTATATTTTTATTTCCAGGAACAAGACGGAACAATGTAGAGACGACATTCAGCTAAACTCATTTGCGATGGACGTGGCATGCAACCCCCAACCACCAGGTGCAATGACAGGAAATCTCCAGGGGCAAGCGTATCTCCTGATGGTTACACAAGTCTTCGCTTCCTAGGATCACCTGACACACAAATGTGATGAGGCATCCAACGCCCTCCCAACATCTGAAACTGGGGCCCTTTGACTCGGTGGAGACTAAACGGATATCCAGATGGCCACACACGTCTTGGTGTGACTTCGGAACATTCGATACACGCCGTCATGTTACGTCATACATCCAACCAGTCCCTGAAGACATGACCCTTGACCGGGGAGTCTGGAGGATGAGGGAAGACAATGCAGAGTACACTGTCATCGATGACAACGAAGTGGAGGACATCTTACAGGAAGACCCATATGAAACGATAGAGTCTGTCGATGACAAAGATGATGAGAACATCTCACAGGAAAACCTTATGAAAAGATAAATGTGTAGTTGCCTTGGAAGATGTATTAGTCAACCAATGAGAATAATGAAAAGAAAAATGCATTTTGGCTATATTTTGCTGTAGGTAATATAAGATGTTGATGGATGTCTCTGCTAGGTAAGGACCGGATTTGGGATCGGTATATCAACAGCAAACCAGTATTATCAGAATAAGATCATAGATTTAATGGTTAAAGTTTGTCTATGCGCACAGGGTAACTGGGTTCAAATTCCAATATGAACACATGTTGTGTACATTATATGTAGGATTTTTGTGCATGCGGATCCTGTGATGGTTGTGGCCATGCCGAAAGAGTAAATTCCAGGATCATATGTTGTGTAACCTGGAATTTGATAGCTTTGTGTTGAATCTCTTTGTTGAATCCCCACATGGGCACAATGTGTGAAGCTTCCATGAATGGTGTCCAACGACCTAGATATAAATTGGCAAGTGTTAGGCAGAATATCACCTAAATTACATAGATAGATATGAATGTCCGATAATGTTTGCTTTACTGATTACAGATGGACATGAAGACCAGCAGTTTATAAATATGCATGATTACACTATGTACATATTGTAATTAGCCTCCATGCTTGACGTTGCCATTGTAGACTAGCAGCCATTTCAGATTCTTTGCAAAAATAAAATAATCTTGAAGCTATAAATATTCACTTTCATTCACGAGAATGGTTTCACTTCTCTTATCGACTGCTCTAGACGGAGGTTTTGGGTATAAAATTGGCACATGAGTGTGATGTTAACATATCTGTTCGGGAGTGGACGATCACGCCTGATATGTTGCTGTGACGAGATGCTGGCGGGTGATGCCTTTAAAAGGTCGGGCATCCATATCAGAAATTTTCATTTTACAGCCAACGTCACTAATACCACCCCTATTGGCAATAAATGAACGAGGTTTTCGATGCATGCTACACATGAGTCAACCAGTGCTTGTCCCAACTAGCAATGAGGAGCAGGCCCAAATTCACTGAGGAAGTGATGGGTCTTTTCATTTCACGTACACGTCTGCTAATGACATCAGGATTGAGTGCTTGGGGCCACGGCATTAGTGAATCAGCGAGTTGGCTATTCATGTATTAGGATTAAGGCACTATGAGTGAGTGAGTATGGGTTTTCGCCGCTTTTAGCAATATTCCACCAATTTCTCGGTTGCGGAAACCAGCAAAGGGATTCACACATTTGACCCATGTGGGGAATCGAACCCGAGATCTTCGGAGTGACGAGAAAAGGCTTTAACGATGGAGCAATCCCGCCACCTCCATGGCATGAAATAGATGTCTTGCTTTCGGAAGATAATGCCACATTCATGACACGCTGGTCACCTGTGTTCTTATGTTGAAAGATAAAACATTGCTTCGTTGTGAAAGTCTTACCTCCCGAGAGGTGCAATAATATTGCCTCGATAGTATTTTACCAACATATAATATGGAGCGCGGTTTGACCAGTGTTATACAGAACCCGCATACCATTATGAACCCACTCCCAACACGATGATACTGTACGTGACTTTGACGTCAGAAGACGTTCAGTAGGACGTAATTAGCCTCGATTCATTCGGGTCAAAGGAAATCGAGAGTGAACCTCGATTCTCAGAAGAATCACTGATCTGTCTCTCTTTGACAGCAGTGACATTTACCATACCATCGATGCCTCTGATTCCAATGATATGATGTGATTTGGTGGTATGACACCATGCACACTGATGCCATCTTTGCAGGCGAGGTTTGCAGTGATGTACTCTAGCAACTGTTATCAGTTGCAGAGTGGTCCCTTTATCTGAGGGGCATTTTGTACCGATTCCCTCAAACCATCAATCTGACCATGTGGACTTGAAGTTAGTTGCCCTTGGACGTCCCCAGCGTAGTTGATCTTCATGGTTATGTGTTTGCGGTATCAGGTCAACATTCTGCTTATGGCATATTGAAACACTTGTAGCAACAATATTCTTACGTCTTCCACAGTCCAACATGCCACTAAACGTCCATCACGTTGCAAACGTCGCTTGATCAACAGTTACCTCCTCAGTGCTTAATTGTACATAATAAGATGTCCCTTAAACATTGGGCTCTAAAGAAAGCAATATTCTCACAACCAGACGATCTGCGCAGAATACCCCATGGCTTTTCTGAGGTAACATGTTTTGTGACTGTATCAATGATGTGCTCGGGATATTGTTGTATTAGGAAGGGCCTTCCCTGAAAAATCTCTTACTTTTATTTCTTGTTGAATGTCATTTGGGTTTTGCATAGCCTGTCTTAGTCATGAGGGCGCACACTAACACATTCTACTTCAAAAGGGTAAATCTGACAGCACCCCCTTGCAGGTGGTGTCCGACGTCTCGTGCTGTATTATTGGTAGTGTCTCGTGTTTACAAGCTTCATTTGTTTGGAAATGTTCTTGTCACATACATCATTTATATTCATTGGACACACTGGTGTAGCTTCACACATCAAAACAAAACACACCATACGTTGTGGTGGAGCGTTTCTCATTCATTAAGGCAAACATTGGCGCTCTTTTCCTGCACCTCTATCGGGGCGGTGGGGTAGCCCTGAAGTGGTTAAGGCGTTTGCTCGCCACGCAGAGGGACTGACCCGGAAGGTTCGATAGTCTACATGAGATTGCTGGAATATTGCTAAAAAGCGGCGTAAAGTAAACTCTCACTCCTCACTGCACCCTATCCTTTAGATGAGGGTGTACGTTATAATATCCCATATTCAATTGTTTACATAAAATTGATTAATGTTAAACAGCTTTGTTGAACTTCACACTTCAACTGTTGTTCCGCAATCATAAAGGCACGCTTTAATATCTTTACTTCCGTATCTGTTACCCGTGGTTGATGATTCTTCATCATTCAATGATATTAAAACTATATAAATGACGCTGAGTATTCACAAAGTGATTCGCGTTTTCATTTTATTTCCGCAGCACTGCACATTAGAAACTAGAAATGAAACCGGAAACTCGCTTTGTGCCTCTGGAGTTACTAGGACTGTAATGGCCATTGGATAAACCAGACAGTTAAATAAGGCGTTTGCCATCCGATATACATCAGCCACTAGGACACAAGTGTAAGCGATACCAATTAGAAGATGAAGTCAAGGGAAATACGTTTGTGTGTGACCGTACTTTTCTGGCTGTTGACAATCAAGGTAGGCATGTAATACATCTCCCAAAATTGCCCAATGACCAGCTAACTCCATGGACTATTCAGGGGACATAAACCAGATATATCATGGTGTGAATATATTCTTCTTGTGAAACATTTACTGATAGGCTAAGCCTGCAATAATCTGTTCAGCTGTACTTTTTTCTTAGTGCAATTCTTTTCAAGTTCTTTCTTTAACTGAGTTTATACAATATATCACTTTGTGTAGCCTTAAATGAAATGTGTACAATATTCATACGTGGAGTTTCTTTCATTACACTTCTTCAAATATACGCAAGAAAGTTTATTATATCAACGTCGGTTCAGTTGTGTATTATCATATTGCATAAGTGCCAGTTTCACTGTCAATAAATGATGACTCAAAGTGTCATGAGATATTGTTATACAGTGCGTGTAGATACACATGGTCGAAAGTACGAACAGTTAATGTAATTCTGCTTGGGTATATCTCCATGCCTCTGGCAACGTGGAGAACAATCTCAACAAGGTTCCTGATGGATGTTAGAGTCAATCCCGCTGTAAGTTGTCTTTTATAACTTAAGTTATCAGCTTAACGTGTGATAGAGAAGTGTCTGATAAAATGTTACAAGAAAAAAATCTATAGTCCAATCGCATTAAATAAAAGCGACAATATCCTTTTCACACTGGCCCTTTTCATACTAACCCGAGACATATAACTTGCTCCAGGGTCGATTAATGAATGTAGTCCTCAATGGGCTGATGCATTTTCAGGACAATAGTTGTGAAACACTGTTTGACATCAATTGAAAATGGTTAAAACTGACAGGAAATGGAAATTTAATTAGCTGTATCAGAAACCTTGTTGTCAGCCCTGTCCACCATCACATCAAACTACTCTGTTCAGTTAGTGCTACATTTAGCACACGTCGTATCATATCGCGGTAGCATTTGGACTTTCGAAAGCTCCATGTCATGTTATGTGATAGCATCGTTATGAGGTGACAATATCTTTAAAGTGTTCCTTTATAGAAAAACATTTTCTTCTCACATCTGAGAGCATGTCTTTGTACAAAAGGTATCCAGTGTATTTCCGGCTTTAAACCTTCCACCCATGTCCCACACGATTGCCGCTTCAATTAAATAATAATAAAAAATAAGGTTTCTGCTAGCTCCTTGAACTAATCGTAAAGAAATTGAATTTCTGATGGCATGGGATAATGGGGACGAGGTGATTATATAAAGGTAGGGCTGAGTATTAGTGGGATCGTATCTAGCATGTCTATCTCTGGTATCTGTGGTCCAGACTCAATTATTCACAGGTCATTGGTGAGTGTAGCGTGAAACAGATCTCAATAACTGTTTGTTCGAATCTATCTTCATGATTTACAGCGAGTGAAGACTGACGGTAAACTGGACATTCGATTCATCAGTTACTGGTCAGATGGCAGGGGAAATCAGTGGATACTGTTGTGACAGTGAGGGTTAGCCATGGTGCACTGATAAGTGTGATCCAATGTTTACCCTGTGTATTGGTATTGCTGGGTAGGTACAATTAAAACGTTTATTGAGAAAACACACGAGCTAAATATGTTCAGTTCCTGCCAGTTTTGTATTTCTTAGGCTGGTGAAATAATTTGTGTACTTCCCTGTATATTTTGGAGTGTAACAACGTATTAGTAATATAAGTTTGCCAAAGCAATATTCATGGTTTTAAAACGCCTGCATTGTGCTATATTACGTATGTCTGTCTTTGTAACCATTGGTGTGCCATTTGGTGTGTACATTTGGAGCTGGGGCAGTGGGGTAGCCTAGTGGTTAAAGCGTTCGCTCGTCACGCTGAAGATCCGGGTTCGATTCCCCACATGGGCACAATGTGTGAAGCCCATTTCTGGTGTACCCCGCCGTGATATTGCTGGAATATTGCTAAAAGCGGCGTAAAACTAAACTCACTCACTCATTTGGAGCAATTAATCAAAAGAATGAATTCCTACCTTCCATACATCTTTCATTCTGGCTACATATGCAGTGATACAAAAGTGTGTGTTTTCAATGCAGCGCTTTGTTACCTGTAGATATGATGGTGTAATACAATTTGCTCATATTATTCCAGCCCTGGAGGAAGACAGCCGTGCTCTGTTTACAAGAGGACCACAAAATATGTAGACAACCATAACACCATCCCCTTTGGAAGCAGCATTCAAGGAACTGCAAATCCTTTCATCATACCAGTGGACAATGCAGTACCGGTAGGACTGTTATCTACATCACTATTTCACACAGAATGGTACATATCAGATTACGTCATAAGTCAAACAAACCCCAAACCATCCTGTTGGTGTTGATCAGGAAACTAGCTAACACAGTGCTCGTGAAATCGGATCACTAAGCTAAAGCTTAGCATGACAACGGGTCATTGCATCCTGATGGCGAATCAGGGCATCAATGTCTGGCTCGTCTGGTCCAGCCTCGATTATTTACAAGCAATAACTTCGATGTTTGATAACAAATAGAAAGTAAATCGATATGTGTGTCTATTTATTGATTCAGCTACACTTAACTAACTTCAACTAAACAGATGGTATGCATTGTCTTTTTATTCAGTCCTCGATAAAAATAACGGTTGAGGTGTATGACAAAGATCACACTTCCAGTGATGACCACATGGACACACTCTCTAAGCTGATCAACATCCGAGTCGCTGCTACAGAACAGACAGCTATGTACAACTCATACACATTGTCGAGTAGGACGACGTGAGTCAGATTAAAACATATCTGTGATGATTCCAGAGAGTTGGGTTGGAGGGCTGGAACAAAACAAGATGGGATATTCTTTCATGTTCTTTGTTCATAAATACTTCAAAATGATGAGTTTACGTCAAAACATTATGATGTGAATGATCATCGGTCTCGTACCAACATAATGCCAATGTAAGCTTTTGACCAGCATTCAATGTTTTATATGTAATAATTGCTTGATCAAGGTGCTCAAAGGCACTCAAAGTGAAAAGTGGTTTTGTTTTGTTAGTTTGTTGTTTAACGCGGCACTCAGCTATATTCCATCTATGTGGCGGTGGTCTGTAAATAATCGAATCTGGAGTCTCTCCACCCGGTCCCGTTAGTCGCCTCTTAAGTGAAAAATGTAGAGTAAATTATTTTCAACGTTAAGGACTGACTGTCATAGTGTGTGTGTTTGTTTGTCTATTAACGCCGCACTCAGCAATATTCCAGCTATGTGGCGGTGGTCTGTAAATAATCGAATCTGGAATCTCTCCATCCGGTCCCGTTAGTCGCCTCTTAAGTGAAAAATGTAGAGTGAATTATTTTCAACGTTAAGGATTGACTGTCATAGTGTGTGTTTGTTTGTCTTTTAACTCTGCACTCAGCAATATTCCAGCTATGTGGCGGTGGTCTGTAAATACTCGAATCTGGAATCTCTCCATCCGGTCCCGTTAGTCGCCTCTTAAGTGAAAAATGTAGAGTGAATTATTTTCAACGTTAAGGATTGACTGTCATAGTGTTTGTTTGTTTGTCTTTTAACGCTGCACTCAGCTATATTCCAGCTATGTGGCGGTAGTCTGTAAAGCATCAAGACAATCCACTGAATCAGTGATCAACAGCATGGGGATCGATCTTAGCAAATGGGATACGATGACATGTGTCAACCAAGCAGGAAGCCTAACCAACTGATCATATATTTCTCCTCAAAAGTGAAAAATGCAGAGTGAATTATTTTCCAGGTTAAAGATTGCTGTCCGTGCCTACTGTGACCCGGAATGGTACGGGTCTGCGTGTGTGAGAAATATTGCAAAGGCCACTCCTGACCACAGTCACTACACCTGCCACCCACACACAGGAGCTAAAATGTGCTTTGAAGGTATGATCAGAAAGCTAAGTGAGTGTTGATGTGAACTATTTTTTAGACCTTAACAAGCTTGAGAAAGACCAATAGACACGCTACTTTTAATTGAACAAAGTTTGTGTTATTAGAAATGGATGCTCGAAATTAATGAATCAAATCTCCCGGCTAATCACGTATCCGCCATTGTCATTTGAGTTTCGACCAGACACAAATACAATTGTCGATTGTTTTAAACTGGGCTATGGACTAAATGTCCCAGTTGTGACGTGTCCTGTATTGTATAACGATCCTTCCACTGTAAAGTGTGGGGAAAGTACATTGAAACCCGGTTATCCAGTCGTCAATATTTAAAGTGACTGTTTTAAGTGTTAAAGTGATTATTGAATCACTGGTGATCCATTTACATATGTAGACGTTCATCTGACAGTGATCATCCAGCGGGATATCGGAACTGTCGGTGTGGATTAATAGGATTTCACTGTTTCACTCTTTCTGAAACAATGTGCTATTTACTGCATAATTTCAAGTAATTTCAAATATAAAATTGCAGGTTGGAAGGGAGACAACTGCAACAAGGACATCGATGAATGCACAGAAAGTGACCAAATGTGTCAACACGGAGGCACTTGTACAAATACAAACGGAAGTTTCGAGTGCGCTTGTGCGGAGGGGATCAAAGGTAAGTAGACTGTATCTGTCCTCGTGGATCAGTCCTCGTGGAAGTTTGCACTATTATGGCTACCATACAATAATTCGATCCAAATGTTACCAAAAGTACAATATTAATTGTCTCATAAAACAGACTGTGTTCCTCCGAATTATTTCCGTGTATATTCAGTTGTTTTAATGCGCCCCTATTTGGTAATGTATATTTATCTACATTTTACACTCAAATGCACTTATATGCACCCATAAAAGCGCGCATGCTCCCACAGCACCCCACCCCACCCCAAATCATATATGACTATAAGATATTTAGCACCGCAATCCCGCAATTACATTTTGTACCTGCCTTGAACATTGTTCTAACTCCCACCTTGATAGTGGAGGTAAAAGGTAAAAGGGTTAAATCCAACAGTACCCGATGGCAAGAGATATGTAAATTGCTTACAAGTCGTGTAAAATATCTGTTCATTGATGTTTTTTTGGCTACATAATTTCTAAAATTTGTTTAGGAAAACTATGTGAAAACATCATCAACCAGTGTGCACTGGAGCCATGTCTGAACGAAGGGACATGCGACGAAACGAATCGGACTTCAATTGCGCATGCCTAGTTGGTTGGACTGGAGAGACATGTGCAGATAAGGTTAATTTCTGTGACAGTTCCCCTTGTAACATGGGCCAGTGTATACCGGATCTATCGACGGCAACTCGGTTCAAGTGTGACTGTGATTTTCCTTGGGTAGGGGAGATGCAACCAAAGGGTTGGTGAGAGTGAGATAGTTTCTTCTATACACTCCCTTAAATTCATGTACGTTTTTATCGTTCCAATGTATTATAGTGTTTCAATTCTAATATATATAGTATGGAATTAATTTGTGAAATCAGTAAGTAAACAACAGAAGATCATCTAACAATTAACAAAATAAACTACTGGGTAAGAGAAACGATACCAAGTCGAAATCACTGATATTACAAAACGACAAGCACGTCCTTTGTGAAAAGGACAGTGACTTTAATAGCAGTTGTATGGACAACATGCACTCAGTCATGTAATTGGAGTAGAAACAATAACAAGTACATTGAATCACTGTATAAATGAAGGAATGAAGTGTCCAGTATTCGATCACAGATGTAAACAAACCAACACACGTGGTCAGTATCTGGTATGTCCACCTAGGGCATCAATGCAAGCCCTAACTACGATGTGTTGAGAACGTCAGACGCCGTATACCTTGGGCAGGGATCCTTCGCCATACCTCTTGAAGAGCTAATCGCTGACGTCGGTTTCCAGGAACAAAGGGCTCTAGCACGAGTCTGACGATCCATATGGTCCCACAAGTGTTCAATTGGTGACATGTCAAGTGACCTGGAGGGCCAAGGAGGCACATTGACGTTGTTTCTCTGTAGAAATGACAATACGTGCTGTATGAGGACCGGCGTTGTCCTGGAACATGATCCGGTTACGGCGTTGACGTAGGAATGGTAGTGCAACCGGACACAGAATTTGATCAATGCATCGTTGAGCAGTGAGATTACCATCCACCACAACAAGATCTGTCTTCATATCGTAGCACATGCCGCCCCAAACCATGACACCAAACGCCAATTCCTGTACACAGCAACTTTGCACACCTTAGAACATCACTCTCTCTGCCACTGTCTGTTTTGCCACTGGCGAACCGTGTGTGCCCATCGCAGACCACGGTAGGGTCTGTAGGCGCGGATACCGTATTGTCTGAGTTGTCGTGCTGCTGTTCTTTAACTGATAGGATGTCCAAGCCCAGTCGCTGCTGATGACGTCACAGGTAAGAAATGGTTTCTCAGGTAGCGGGTCATCAGCCTCGTGATGGTTAGACGTGTACTGCCCAAGGTCGCTGCAACATGTGCATGAGTGGCACCCATCTGTGCCATTCCAATAGCTCTCTCTGGATTCCTGCGATAATCGAGGCATGGTCGCTGAAGTGGACTTGAAGATCTGATGTCGAGGAAGGTTTGTGTGCACTGTTATGCTCCAAAGATGCACGTGCTTCATGCAATCAGTTCACGAGATTTTCGTGTTTCACGACCCGTTGCAGTGATACTGTTCGCCCAAACACAACATGTTTCATAACAGATGTTAGGGAAGCGTTGTGGTGATTATTTTAAGCTCATAACTACTTACCAAATTTGATTTCGAGTCCAAATTAAATTTTGGTATCGTTGCTTTGCCCGTTAGTTTATTTTGAACGACATACGACGTTTACGTAATACAATACAGCAAAATTCGTGAGAAATACCTGGCAGCATCAAAATATATATCAGACAATAATTAAGAAGTTACAGCAATCACTGAGGTCCAGTATTTCTCGAACATTAACGTCTTGAATTAGGGGTCTCCACACATTCCCTAGAAAGGGGCACATCACACAGGTAATTTCCAGCACAGCCGTCAGCTGCTGGGATGGTGTGTGACACACACACATCCAAGGGAGGTTACGGATATTATACGGTCGCCTAAATCACTTTGCCACTCACTGTCACAAGAATTTACGTTACAATATGCGAACAATGAAGACAACGGGCGACATCAATACAACTCAAAGGTGACATGTGTTTGGTTTTCATTCTGGAGAAAACAGACTGGTTGCTGTATCCTGCCAGGGTACTGAGTCAGATGTATGCCGTGTGCTTTTTGTGTGACAAAAAATCTGTTGATGATGAGTGTGCGAGTGAGTTTAGTTTTACGTCGCTTTTAGCTATATTTCAAAACTATTTCGAACCCGTCTTCGGCGTGACGAGCGATCGAGGAAAACACTAGGCTACCCCACCACCCTTTGATCATGAACGTTCTTTTGGTCGTCAATTTGTGATTTTTATAAATGAATTTTTATTTTATTTGCACTCAGATATTATCAACATTACACTCCTGGGTGAGATTGATCATACAAGTAGAGGTGACCTGGCTGATGGCTTCAACAGACTCATCACAGAACTCGGGGGAATTCCAGGAAAGGTGGCTGTCAAATTTAAAACCAAGGCACAGAGAGAAAACAAGTAAGTCACAAGCAGAATGATGTTGACCAGTACAAGACCACATGACTCTACAATGACTTTGATATTTAAATCTCCCGTCGTGCAGTTAAGGTCAAATCATTAACAAGTTTGTGTTTCGTGTACCTTTCAGTTATACTACTACGCACGTACAACTCTACTCTGCTGTGGAAAACGGATCCTTCTGAGACAGTGATTCATTTGCTAGAATCTTCGAATCCAACCCTGATGAAATCATCAATGAATATCTGCCTCTTCCGTTGTACCCTCCCCGAAAGAAGAGAAGGCAACCTTGAAGGTCACCCCATGGTGCCAACAGTGGTGGCCGATGTCTTATTAATACTGTTTGTGTAACAAATGTAATAGCATTATTTGCTATAGTACAGTACCTGATATAACATTTGTTGCCTTTGCATGTTTGTTGGATTTTTATATGTGTAACGCTAAATTCAGCTGAATTCGGCGGTCTTTTGCCGTCGGGGCAGTGATGTAAGCTGTCTATATTAAGAGGAAGGTTGCTTTGAAACTATTTTCTTACTCGTTACGCATGTTTATTGGATTGTTTTGTCATTTGTGAACACGTCATTCAGCCATAGTCCAGCCATATGACGACAGTTTTTACAGCTCTCGAGTCAGTGATGAACGTTGTCACGCTTAAGAAGTAAAGGTTCCTTTGGAGCTAATGCTACTAAAAGTAACCTTTAAAAGCACAGTGCAATTTTATTCTCGCGTATGTATGGTAAAACATTCTTGGACGAGACGATTTTCAGATTACTACAGGTCAATATGGGCGTGTTTCAGAGTCCACATGACGACTGGGACACAAACCAATATGTGTCAGCCATTCTACCTCCTGTAGGAGTCCTGATACCATATACTACTTCTGGTGGCTTTCTGCACCTGGAGGAAGATCGTAAGTGGTACATGGCGAACTCATTAATTAAACATACTGCCTTGTATTGGGAGAGGAATCAAGGACGACAGCCACTCCGAAGAACGTACATTCTAGCAATCGGAATAGATACTTTTCCTCAAGGCATACATTATGACCCGACAACTTGAACGGAATTGCTTTGAAATATACACACTGTTCGAGAAATGATTAGGAAAATACACACATGTACCTATAAAAAGTTTCAGGTCGAAACAGTAAGCTGCTAAATCCAACTTGAGATATCGAGATGCTCAGTTGCAATATACTAGGAGTTTGTTTGGATATTTAGCATTTACGTCAACATTCATTATACATGTATTTCTTATTTCCAGGAACAAGACGGGAACAATGTAGAGACGACATTCAGCTCGACTCATTTGCGATGGACGTGGCATGCAACCCCAACCACCAGGTGCAATGACAGGAAACTCTTCAGGAGGCAAGCATATCTCCCGATGGTTACATGAGAGTCTTCGCTTCTTAGGATCACCCGACACACACTGTGATGAGGCATCCAACGCCCTCCCAACAACTGAAACTGGGGCCCTTGACTCGGTGAGACCGAGCGGATATCCAGATGGCCACACGTCTTGGTGACTTCAGAACACTCGATACACGCCGTCATGTTACGTCATACATCCAACCAGTCCCTGGAGACATAACCCTTTGGACCGGGGAGTCTGGAGGATGAGGAAGACAATGCAGAGTACACTGTCATCGATGACAACGAAGTGGAGGACATCTTACAGGAAGACACACATATGAAACGATAGAGTCTGTCGATGACAAAGAGGATGAGAACATGTCACAGGAAAAACCTTATGAAAAGATAAATGTAGTTGCCTTGGAAGATGTATTAGTCAACCAATGAGAATAATGAAAAGAAAATGTATTTTGCTATTTTGCTAAAGGGAACGTAAGATGTTGATGGATGTCTGCTATAAGGACCGGATTTGGGATCGGTTTATCAACAGCAAACCAGTATTGTCAGAATAAGATCATAGTTTAGGGTTGAAGTTTCTCTTGCGCGCAGGAGTTCAAATTCCAATA